AAGATGATTTTCACCTTTATGAAAAAAGTGAAACAAGCATTTGGCATTTGTTTTGCAGCGAGTGCATATCCCAAGCGAGAGTGGCATCACCAAGCTCCTTCCCCGTGAAACGCACTCAGCATCTTACTGTCAAGCCACTATAGCTTTGACCTGTGTCTGTGAGCACTATATAGGTTATTTTAGGTTTTATGTAATATTTAGTATGACTTGGCAGGTGATTTTTTGGATCTGGCAATGCTCAAAAATTTTCCCCATATACCCCAAAAACAAACCCACTGCCATCAAGTCAATTCTGACTCATGGAAACCCTATAGGACAGAGTAGAACTGCTGTATTAGGGTTTCCAAGGCTGTAAATCTTTATGGAAGCAGATTGCCTCATCTTTCTCCAGTTGAGTGGCTGGTGAGTTCAAACTGCCTACCTTTTGGTTAGCAGCCAAATGCCTTAACCACTGCACCACTAGTGCTCCTTCCCATATAAATTAATGGTTAATTGCTTCTTCCCTTTATATCACATTTCATAGGAATGTGGAAGAAACGTGTAAATTTACAAGAACCTTGAAACACACTATCAAATTCAAGATTCACGTGGTGGTGCTATTCCTTCAGCATTATGCCTACTATGTGCTACTCACTGCCACCTTGCTTAAACACTATTGATCTGACAGAACAAAACCCGAGTTCATGCCTTCATGGAACTACATTCTAGATGTGGATGTTGCTATTGTTGTTGGCAGCTGCCTTGAAGTTGTTCCCCAAGTCATGGAGACCCACCGTACAGAAAAGAATTGCTCCATAGAGTTTTCTTAGCTGTAATCTTTACAGAAGCAGTTCTCCAGACCTTTCTTCAGCAGAGCCACTAGGTGGGTTTGAACCAACCTCTAGTTTAGCAGCCAATCACAAATGGCTTGTGCCATCCAGGTTCCTAAACGTGTATATCCTCCTCTACTAAATTCTAATACACACCTATTGCAGTGTAGTAAATTACTTAGTATGGCTTTTCTACCCATAAATCATTGTAAACTCAGTGGTGGAATGAGCAACGGAAGAGCTCCTGATAGTAAATGTTATCTACCTGGGTTATTTCTGTTGGGCATGGCACAATGCAATGTTCTGGGAGGTTCCCACTCTCTCTCAGGTGCTTAGAGTTCTGATGCTATGATTGGCTAGTTTGACC